ATATTTTACTGTTTTTATCCAAATTTTAATTGGGGATATTTTATTGTTTTTACTAGAACAAACTGAGAGTGAGGTGGCTCAGCCTGCATGTGAAGCTCTGTAACATGCTTTTAAGGGGAAAAAAGTATTTTATTTGTTTTTATCCAAATTTTAGTTGGGGATATTTTACTGTTTTTATCCAAATTTTAATTGGGGATATTTTATTGTTTTTACTGGAACAAACTGAGAGTGAGGTGGCTCAGTCTGCATGTGAAGCTCTGTAACATGCTTTTAAGGGGAAAAAGTATTTTATTCCAAATTTTAATTGGGGATATTTTACTGTTTTTATCCAAATTTTAATTGGGGATATTTTATTGTTTTACTGGAACAAACTGAGAGTGAGGTGGCTCAGTCTGCATGTGAAGCTCTGTAACATGCTTTTAATTGTAAAAAGTATTTTATTTGTTTTTATCCAAATTTTAATTGGGGATATTTTACTGTTTTTATCCAAATTTTAATTGGGGATATTTTATTGTTTTTACTGGAACAAACTGAGACTGAGGTGGCTCAGTCTGCATGTGAAGCTCTGTAACATGCTTTAAAGGGGGAAAAAGTATTTTATTTGTTTTTATCCAAAGTTTAATTGGGGATATTTTACTGTTTTTATCCAAATTTTAATTGGGGATATTTTACTGTTTTTATCCAAATTTTAATTGGAGATATTTTACTGTTTTTATCCTAATTTATAAGTTGATGCAGGTCATTTTATGATTATTTGGGAAATGAGGGACTTTTTACATTATTTTATCCATTTGGGTGTGGGGGACAAAGGGAATATTTTACTTTTTAAGACCAAATTTTAATTTATACAGGAGACCTTTTTTTTTATCTTTTTTTTAGTTAAATGTTGAGCCCCGAAGTCAAATCAAAGACTTAAAAACTGGTACTCCAAAAGGAAAAGAAAGGGGACCTACTGTGGGCATTTGTCTTGGTGAACTAGCACCTTAAAGTCCAGCTAACCCACAGGCCGGCTGGCTAGTACAAGCAGACAGGTATTTTTAATACCATTTGGCATTTTTAAACTTTGGCATTTTTCATTTGGCTTTTTGTTTTATGTGTTTTTGAACTATTTGGATTTATACCATTTGGCAATTTTCATTTATGTTTTTTTCATTTTTTTCAACATATTTTGTAATCAACACACCAAAAGCACTTCAAAATTAAGAGTGGGATATATACTTTTTGGCCTCCATAATGTTTATCAATCAAAACAGCATTCTATTTTCAAATTTACATTACACAATTTGGCTTTCTGTAACGTTGGCTGTTAATCTTTTGTACGAATGCTATGATGACCATTATGTGTAGAAAATAAGACTACATTTCTAAAAGTGGCTCAGGTTCATATATTTATGTTTGATATCAATCAGTTCTAAATTTCCTTCACATTTCTAAAATTTAAGATCTTCCATATCTGGTACATCTTATAATATCGTATTCATCTACTAACCCAATTTTCTCATAGGGACTTAACACGAAGCAGAAGGGGTATTAGGTGGTAGGTGGTTAAGGGTGTTATGATAGGGTGAAAGGGTGAGAAAGGGAGGGAGAAAAATAGAATGATGGAGAGGGTGAGGGTATATGATTGTGAGTGGAATATAGAGAGGGAGTAAATCTGTGAGAGAATGTGATTTCATAGTAAGGGCAGGGTGTACTGGTCTGGAAGTATAGTTTCTGTTTTGTCTCATGTAGTTTCTGTTTTCTACATCAATCTGATAAGTTTAAATATTGAGAAATTGTTGTCGTCTAAAAGTTCACAGGTTAACAGCCTTTCTTGTTACTGTTTATATGCTGCTTATATATAAACATTGTAGCACTTCTCAGTAGCTAGATAGAGTTGTGGCTTTTCATCAAATTAAGCAGCAGCTTCTGTACAGTTCATGTTGGAATGATACCAAGTGCTGTGTTTTTCTTCCAAGTTGAGAACATTTTTGATCTTCATGAACTAGTAATTACACATGGTGAAGCTTTTTATGGCCCCGCAACAAATATGGCCTCGCAACAAAGCCATATAGTTTTACCCTTGTCTGTCATTCCATCATTCCGTCAATCCATCTTTCCATCATTCTGTCATTCCGTCATTCCGCAACAAACCATTATACGGGCTTTTTTTCTAAATGCCTTCAGATATTAGGCTGATTTTTGGTATGTGAGTTCACCATGATGAGTTTTAGATGAAGTTTTAGTTTCGTTCTGCTCCGCTAATTTTTGCCAAAATTACAGGCTTTGGACTTCGATAAATTGTTGAAAATCACAGTTATACAGACTGGTTTTTCTAAAGGCCTTCAGATATTGGGCTGATTTTTTATATGTGAGTTAACCATAATGAGTTACAGATCAAGTTTGAGTTTTGTCCTGCTCTACTATTTTTGCCAAAATTACGGCTTTGGACTTCGATAAATTGTTGAAAATCACAGTTATACAGGTTTTTTTCTAAATGCTTCAGATATTGGGCTGATTTCTGGTATGTGAGTTAACCATGATGAGTTACAGATCAAGTTTATGTTTAGTTCCGCTTTGCTAATTTTCCCAAAATTACAGGTTTTGAACTTTGATAAATGGTCGAAAATCACAGTTAAATGGAGTTTTTTAAAGCCTGAAGATTTTGAGCAGAATTTTGATATGTGAGACTACCATCATGTTTGTGTTCAACATGTGTTGTTGAAATTGCAGATTTTTCAACTTTTTGAGACAGGGCCATTCGTGTCGTTTTGACACATCTAGTCTTTTTTTGCAACATGTTTTTTTATCAACACAACCAAAACACTTCAAAATTAAATATACACTTTTGACATTCATAATGATTATCAATTATTTTCAAATTTACATTAAATAATTAAATAACTTTAGTATAAGTAAATAGAAATGTATGAAATTTGAACACAAGGTTAATAACCACACAAGAAAGGTTGGGGTTTTAAGGGATTTAAGGAGGCAAAAAGGGGCCCAAAAAAACATTTTTCTAGTTTCCAGACAATAACTTGTGGAACATTGTATGGATCTCTCTGAAATTATACCACGATTTTCCATTCCTCAAAAAGATGGTTAGGGTTGGCTTTTGAGGGTTATAGCTTAAACCAATTAGGAATTAGGGGCAAAAAAGGGGGAAAACAATGATTTCCTGTTTGATGGACTATTACTTATTTAAGTACATGAATGTTACGTTTGAATTACATACCTTACACTACTTTTAAATCATGTATAACGAAATGTATTGTCTTGAGGTGATTTGCTGCCAATTTGTTTTTAGAAAAAAGTAAAATCACAAAAATGCTAAACTCTGAGAAAAATTCAAAACGGAAAGTCCCTAATCAAATGGTAAAATCAAAAGCTCAAACACATGAAATGAATGGATAACAACTATCATATTCTGACTTGGTACAGGCACTTTCTTATGTAGAAAATGGTGGATTGAGCCTGCTTTTATAACTAGCTAAACCTCTCACTTGTATGACAGTCACATCAAATTCCATTATATTGACAACGATGTGTGAACAAATCAAACAGACATAACAGGTGAAAATGTCAAAACTACAGCCATCAAGAGAGAACTAACTGTTTTATAAAAAAGAATTTTTAAGGATGTATTTAAATGGGTAATTATGGTTGCAAATTCTATTTGGAATTTTAAATTTTAAATTTTAGATTACAGAAATTTCAGAAATTAAAAAGACATTTTTTTTAAATATAATTTATTGTTGCCAAAAAAAAGGGGGAGGTGTCAATAAACAACAGCATAATAGTGTATTGCACAAGAGCAAAAAAAAATGAGGGGTCAATATGCAACAGCATAGTGTATTGCACAAAAGCAAAGCTTAAGGGGTGTATTTTTTTGGGTAGGCCGGGGTCAATTCGCATGCATAGTGTATTGCATATAAGCCAAAAAAAATAATATAAATTGAAACATATAACCAATTCTAAGTTCCTTGACTACAGTTATTCTCTGTCAGAATCCTATTATGTGTCAAATATTTAATTACAATCCATATTCAGACCCAAGCGCGAATATTGTGTCCATTTTTGCCCCAACTGTTCATGGTAGGACCTCTGCGGTCGTATCTAGCTGCGCTCGGCGAAGCAATTTATTATCTTCGAAATGTTTTGTAGGAATTCTGCTTCACAGAAATACAAAACAAGTCGGTCATTAGGGATGACCAATAAGTACCCATAAGTGAGACTATAAAACATAACAAGGTTGAGAAAAATAAAATTTGGTACATTATAAACCTATAATAATGTAAGCTCTGTACAGCTTTTTACCAACGAACAAATAAAAGGCGTATACAATTCATGTAAACAATTTAAGACATGCAAATAAGATAAAATGCATATCAATGTGAAAGCATTATTAAGTGAAACAAGATGTCACAGTGCTCATGATAGCAACACTGAAAAAAGCACAGTTAAATTGAGCGCAGAGCCGGAACATAAAAGTAAAAACAAAGCAAAGGAGAAAAAAATAAAGTACCGATGATAAAAGTATGTATGCAGTACCAGTGCAGATCCAGAAATTTTGATAAAGGGGGTGGTAGTGGCCAAGAGGGGTCCCACTCCAGTCATGCTTCACTGATCCCTAAATAACTTAGTTAGTCAAACGAATTTTCTAACAAAGGGACCGGGACCCCTGTCCCCCACTTAATACGCCTCTGAGTACAAGTCATATTTTATGTCCATTATAGAATGACACGATTTCCCCGCTATAAATAACATTATCTTTACTTTAGAATAAACAGTGTTTTCACAAGGTTCAGTTAAATTTTCTTTTAAATAATCATAACAGATATAAGTTTTAAGAATGTTCTAATTTACGAAAACAGGTTTGGTATTTGAATGTTAAATAAAACTGTTATTATAATAGTTTCCCAAAATAAAACCTTCCTCATTCAAAATATCTCTGACCATTGGCTATCGAAACGGAGCAACTGGAGTACTTCTGTTTATTAAACAAAACCAACCGGAAGTTAGGTTGTTGTCGTGACTTTTCTACCAAACTCATCCAAAGTGCAATATTGTTGTGTGATTTTACTTTATTCACGTGCTTTAGATAGATGACAGCACAAATTACTATCAAGATAGTTAAACAGAAACTAAATTTTATTTACAATTTAAGTATCCAAATATTGTATGCTTTGTCATTACATAATTCAACCGACTAGATCTACAACAACCTATTCTCGGGAACCAGGTTCTGTAACCAACATCCTACAGACACTTGGCTGGCCAACACTAGCAACACGCAGACAAGGAGCCAGGCTTATACTCCTATATAAGATCCTGCATGGAGAAGCATCAGTCATTATCCCAGATTACATCAGGAGACCAACTGTAACAACCAGACAATACAACAGGCACAGAGACAGGTTTTCTAGAGTCAGCACTTCAACGGATGCCTATAAATACAGTTTCATCCCAGAACAAATTTTTGACTGGAACCAATTACCTGAAAGTGCCATCCAAGCCCCCACAACAGATGCCTTCCGGGTCTGTGTGTGGCAGTTCCTGGCGTAACTATTGATACCTGATTTTAACCCTGTACAGTTGTTGCAAACTCACATAATTTTATTTGATTTTGTTCCTGTAAATACCCAAGTTTTTGTTTATTTTTAACTTGGCGTGTACTGGTTGACACACCCGCACAGTATATCTGTGTTATGGAAATTTCAACTGCAGATTAACCACAAAATATAGAAGAAGAAGTACAATAAACACTAGACAACAGGAATGACAGGATATATCTTCTGGGGGGTAAATGGTTAAAACGTACTAGATATAAACAGATTAACTTACTAATGTTCTATTATATACTGGTAAAGTACTAGGGTATCAGGTTGTTCTGGCCCAAAATCAATCTGGCCCCAAAACAATCTGGTTAATTACACTGTGACCAATATTTACGACGGAAGCTTGATCAAATGTCGACAGCCCATTTATGGTATTCAACAGCTCATTGGTCAGAGTTCTAGTCAAATCAGTATCCGGTCAAATCGGCACCCGGTATAGTCAAATCAGCACCTAGTCAAATTGGCACCTAGTTAAATGGCACCTGATGTAGTCTTTAGGCACACATGATAAATATATTTAACCCGCAAACATTTTTTTTGGATTGTATAATGGTATGATGTCGTCGTCTGCGTTGTCCGATGACACATTTGGTTTCCGGACAATAACTTTAGTTTACATGAATGGATCTCTTTGAAATTTAATAAAAAGGTTCAATACCACAAAAGAAAGGTTGGGATTGATTTTGGGGTTGATGGTCCCACCGGTTAAGTAATAATAGGCCCAAAAAGGCCCCAAAACAAGCATTTTTCTACTTTCAGGATAATAACTTGTGTATAAGTATTTCAATTGCTCTGAAATTGTACCATAATGTTTAATACCACAAGTAAAAGGTTTGGATTCATTTTGCAGTCTATGGTGTCAACAGTTAAGAATTAAGGGCCCAAAAGGGGCCAAAAACAAGCGTTTTTGTAGTTTCTGGACAATAACTTGTGTGTAAGTTTATAGATCTCTCTTATTTTGTACCACAAAAGGAAGACTTACTGTAAATTCAGAAATTATTGCGGGCATTTATTATTGCGATTTTTCAAAAATGGACAAGAATGCGAGTTTAATTAATGCGATTTCAGAACAATCTAGGTTTAGATCAACGTTTTATTTATCAAAATGCGAGTTCTTATTATTGCGATACTATTCGAGTCGCATTATTCGCATTAATAAAAACCTCGCAATAATTTCTGAATTTACAGTAGATTGAGTTTGGGCATTATTGTCCCATTCATGCAAGAATTAGGGGCCATAAAAGGGCCAAAAACAAGCATTTTTCTAGTTTCCAGACAATAACTTGTTGTAGTTTACAGTCAATAACTTGTGTTGAAGTGTATAAATCTATCTGAAATTATACCACAAGTTTCCATACTACAAAGGGATAGTTATTGGGGGTTATGGCTTAAATCATTTAGCAATTAGGGGCCAAAAAAAAGGGGGAAAACACGTGTTTTTCTGGTTAAAGGACAATTTAGACAATTTAAAAGCTGTGTTAGGGAGGTAATCCAATTCAAATTTAAAGAATACTGTTATATATATGTTTGATTACCTCCCTTACACTGTTTGAAAATTATGTATTAAGAAATGATGATTGTCTTGAGATGATAAGCTGCAATTTTTTTTTTTAGAAGTAATACTATTCATTTATATTAATATTAACCAGGACTATGTCATTTTATATTTTTATATTTTATGATGTATTTATTAAATGAGTAGTTAATATTAAAAACTCCATAAGAAATTTGAATTGAGATTATTATTGGAACAAGGGAAAAGAGAAGATGAAAAAAGGGGGGGGGGGGGGGGGGGGTGGGTAGGGGGAACAATTTTTCTCATTTCAGATTTCTTTAAATATTTTTTTTTAGGGGATTAATATTCAACAGCATAGTGTATTACTCAAAAGCAAATAATTTTTTTAAGTTCATTAGACTACCAGACACCTATGCTGTGTCAACTATTTAATCACAATCCAAATTCAGCGCTGTATCAAGCTTGAATGTTGTGTCCATACTTGTCCCAACTGTTCAGGGTTCGACCTCTGCAGTCGTATAAAGCTGCACCCTGCGGAGCATCTGGTTACTTTATGTTTACATTAATATTTGAAGATTTGAACAAATCAAAGGGGAAACCAGGCATTATCTTGCATAATATGAAAAAGAAGATGTGGTACGATTGCCAATGAGAAACGAGCCACAAGAGACCAAATGACACAGAAATTAACAGCTACGGGTCACCTTACGACCTTTAACAATGAGCAAAGCCCATACATATAAGTTCTTTCAGTAATTTAACATGGCCTAAATACCTTTGCTTACCATGATAAAAAGTTGAATAATGGAGATAAAGGGTATAATATATCAATGAGACAGCAACTTAATGACACAAAAAGTAAGAAGACATTTAAATATCAACACCAAAGCATCAAAGTCCATTTGGATTGTATCTAAAAACCACGGGGTTAAGATTTTAAATACCTGGTTAAACTGTTGTATAACATTTCAAATACCTGGTTAAACTGTTGTATAACATTTCAAATACTGTTAATACAGAAATTATTGTATGGTTTTTATATTGTGAATGACATGTTTTTTTTTACTGACCCTGGTTATCCATGAGGGTCTTGCATGGTCGTATATGTGAATAATGTATCTGGGTGGTCCCCGTGGGTATCACCAGGTGTATATGTATACACAATATATTGTGAGATGAAGCATAGCCAGACAACTGCCAGGGGCGTAGCTAGGTATCCAATAAACTGTAGGCACAAATTGCGGCAGGGGGTCTGGGGCCCCATAAGGCCCCTGGTAAGGGGTTCTGGGGGCGTAGCCCTCCGACGGAAAACGGTTTTGAGAATTTAAGTTGCAAAATTTTGTGTACAAAAAAACATAAAAAAACGTCATTTTATCATGATAATATACATGAAAACAATGTCGAAAAAAAACCATAATTCTACAATTACATCTGACTGATGAATTAACCGGCAGTACAATTGGAAATATAAAAAAAAACAATATTTCCAATATGCATTGCCCAGCGTGGATCAGCGTAGCCCTTTATTAAGCAGCACAACCTGTTTCTGATTGAGTATAATTGATATATACGTCAATTGATAGTACATATTGACGATCCTTCATTAAAAAAAAAAAAAATAGGCACGTAAACACTGAGACTACTACATAATAATACTAACTTTTGGAATACGGCGCATCGACAATTCATATTTTGATTCTTTAACCTTCACCCTCCCCCAGCCACACAAACAGTCAATACGTCATGCAGAAGTTCTGTTCTGTTCATACTACCGGTGTCTAACAAAATTCAAGAAATTCATATTTTCTTATATCCTGTACTGTAAAATCCCTACCTGCTTAGAATTTGAATAATTATCGTCATTACATGTAGATCTGAGAGTACTCGAAGTTACTGAAAGCTAGTTGATTGATTGATTGATTGATTGATAGACGTCCAGTGGCAAATAATTCATGCATGTTCAGGACTAAAACAGATAGAGGTTGTCCAGGATGAAGGTCTGGAAATTTGGAAATGCCATGCATTGGAAAATGAGGGTTTATTAAATAGGAACAGAAATTTGCCTTTCAGTAGACAACCTACTAACCCCTCAAAGAGTTGTTTCAAGTATCTTAAAGTGCAGAGAGCGTGGCATTCTTTCTCTCTTCACTAGGCATCAGATTGAACTTGGGCCAACAACAACTAATTAAAAAAAATCATTTATCTAAGTTGAGGTTCATTCAAGTATTTGTTGATTGAAGTGAATTATCTGAACCAAAGTTCTAGTTTATAGTTTCTATATTAGGTGGAATATAATGACATACAGTTCCAATACGCCACTGATTCAATAAGGATGATAGACTAGTGTACGCATGACATTCGATAATTAAAGAGTTTTGACGAATTCACATGCATCAACAGATAACATTGTTTATTACTTTTTTTAATAAAAAAATTATTTGTGAAAAATTATGTGTAGGCAAGTGCCTAAAGTGCCTAACGGCAGCTACGCCCCTGACTGCAGTTAATTACGTTTATTATATGCATTAAATTATAATTACTTTTTCATGTGATAGAAAAACTTTATAAAGTCATAAAGTAAAGATTATGTGAAATTATCTAATTGGTTTTTTCAGGAAAGTAACTAAAGTTAACTTTAAGTGCAGTATATCTGTGGACTTTTTTTGTTCTGATAGTAATATTTTCTTTCTCTTTCACAATAGATGGATGGTAACTGAATCAATACAAATAGCCTCATTGAATTTGAAAAAGCTGCAAATGATATCAGTAACAAAAGATTGTTAGTGTGCAGTGTGCAGACAGTGGTTAAACAGAAGTTAACATTCTATCAGTTTTTGGATTTTACAATCAGCTAGAGGAAATAATAGGAGAAAAAGGGACCTGTGTGGTAAAAACTTCCTAAAAGTCGTCCTTTATGTGTTCAACTTTTTCTTTTGGGTAAGTGTATTATATATATGTTTATAGTTATATAAAAGGCAACTTAAAAAGATATTACAATTTAAATGATTTATTGATTATTGGTTGCTTAGAATCATCCATTGGCAAATATTATATATGCATGTTCAGAACTAACTATATAAAGTATAGAATTTGTAAATGTATAATATAAGACATAAGAGAAGATATAGATACATGTTAATTGAATAATCTCCCTTTGTTCTTTATTCAAATTAAATGAAATTCTTCCTTCATTGTTTACTATATTCTGTTGCTAGTAAGATTTTATAACCATGCTAACAGGATAAAAGATCCTAATATAAAATTATTTCTAATTTTTCAGCTAACATTGCTAACTTCAAATTACAAAAATATTCCGTTTCCTAACTTTTCCTTATCATGTTCTGTCAATTAATTAAATGTTCTTTAAAATTCAATAGTATCTTTATGCATGATAAATTCTATATTTCTTTTCCAGCTGACAGCCCGGTAGCTTTCCTTAAGCATTAGGGTTATATATCAAGTTCCAGAAGCATACCTATATCAATCTGCTAGGGAACAGTACTTTCCCTTTGGCAACATACTTGCTACTAGGAACAGGAGCCTTTATTATCTTGTCAGGAATCATTAGTTGTACTGGGACATGTATAGAAAATAGATGTTTTATGGTTATGGTGAGTTATTTCCCTTTGAACACATTGTCTACTAAGAAGGTATACCAAAATTAAGTTTTTTAACTTTTCACAAGCAAAGCCAACAATAAATTGAAAAAAAATCATTTCAGCTAATTCCAATTACATGTTATTTTACTTATGATTGTAATGGATATTATGTTGTATGGTCTGTTCGTCTGTCAGTCCAAATAGATTTTAAGGTTGTTTACATTGACGTTGTGGTCTTATCAACATGAAAATAAGGCCACATGATGTGAAATTACTATGGTATTAGGCCTATTCCACGGTTCACTAAACATTGAAATTATTACATTCTCAAGTTTAAAGTCATATGAAACGAGTGACTAATGAAAAATAATGTTTATCCAATTCTTGAACCAATAAAATTGAGAATTAATGGAAATGGGGAATGTGTCAAAGAGACAACAACCCGACCATAGAGCAGACAACAGCCGAAGGCCACCAATGAGTCTTCAATGCAGCGAGAAACTCCTGCACCCGGAGGCGTCCTTCAGCTGGCCCCTAAACAACTTGTATACTAGTTCAGTGATAATGGACGTCATACTAAACTCCAAATTATACACAAGAAACTAAAATTAAAAATGATACAAGACTAACAAAGGCCAATGGCTCCTGACTTGGGACAGGCGCAATGCATGTTTATATCATAAACTTAGTCTTCTGTGCACGATTTTATCATTTTTTACGCAAAGATATTGTTTTTAAATTGTCAATTTTTTTTCTCTCTGTCTGTTATGATCTAACAAATATGGTAGCTCATTAATTGCCGTGTTTTGAAGCCGAAGTTTACCGATTGTTACTTTATAGTAAACTATCAACAAAAAAGGATGCAATCTATTGGTGATTTTATCATAAACATGCTGCTAATAAATGCCTCTTTAATAAGCTAGGTGCATTTTTCTATATTTTTTTTATCTTAGGAAATTACTATTGAAACATTGTTTATCTGTTATCTTGAAATTATCGTTTGAAAAGGATGTTTTTTTATAGAGATGACTTAAGCCAGTCAGAAAGTCAGACTAGAGGTCACATGTCTGGCATTTCATTCTCCTGTCTCATATTCTAAAATGTTATGGATAATTAAAACATTGTTATGATGTCATTCTATTGTTTTAACTGTTCTTTATTTCAGTGATTGGACTATCATTAACCTGTATACGTAAGAAACCATTATGTTACCTTTAGCTGTCCAATATTTTTAAGAATAGACCTCCTCTTTCTTAAAAATATTGGACAGCTAAAGGGTAGCATTACTGATTCTTACAGATAAATGATAGTTCAATCACTGAAATAAAAAAAAAACTATTAATTACCCCAATTGTTTTCATCATGTAAACAAAAATAAAACCAAAGATCAAATGACAATAAAAAAAAAACATTTTATTAAAGTCACCTTCCAATACAATAATTTTGTCACTCATCAAAACGGTTTCTTGAGAAAAAAATCACTTTCAAATTGATTTTTGTCTCGCTTGACGGAGTCAAAAAGCGAGACATAGGTATGCTGTTTCCGGTGTCGGCGGCGACGGCGGCGTCAACAATGTATTAGTTTGTGATTATGTCTAGTTTATGGTGAACCACTAGTGGTAAGTCAAAAGATATTTGGTATGCAGTTGTATTGGTATTACCATGGAGATTATTTGGCCTCACCCCCTCAGTCATGGTCTATTGACTTTGAAACTTTGCTTAGTTTTCATGTATTAGTTTGTGATTAGGTCATTTTATGGGGAACCACTAGTGGTAAGTTAATGATTATTGGTATGCAGTTGTATAAGCATTGGCATATCTCATTTCCATGGAGATTATTTGGCCCCGCCCCCTCAGTCATGGTCAAATAACTTTGAAATTTTTGCTTAGTTTTCATGTATTAGTTTGTGATTAGGTCAGTTTATGGGGAACCACTAGTGATAAGTAAATGATAATTGGTATGCAGTTGTATAAGCATTGGCATATCTCATTTCCATGGAAATTATTTGGCCCCGCCCCCTCAGTCATGGTCTATTGACTTTGAAACTTTTGCTTAGTTTTCATGTATTAGTTTGTGATTAGGTCGGTTTATGGAGAACCACTAGCGATAGGTCAATGATATTTAGTATGCAGTTGTATTAGCATTGGCACATCTCATTACCAGGAAAATTATTTGACCCCTGCCCCCTCAGTTATGGTTTATTGACTTTGAAATTTTGCTTTATTTAAATGTATTAACTTGTGTTTGAAATTTTGCTATATTTAAATGTATGAGCTTGTGTTTAGGTATGTTTAAAGGGAACTACTTATGATAAGTCAATGGTATTTAGTATGCAGTTGTATTAGCATTGGTACATCTCATTTCCATGGAGATTGTTTAGCCATGTACCTTCAGTCATGGTTCATTGACTTTGAGTATTTGCAAAACGTACATGTTAAATAAAGTGTTTCTATTTTAATTTCAACATTTGCATTATCAAAATTACAAAAAAGCGAGACATATCTCTGTGATAACAGCTAGTTTATTAACACTACCAATACTTATATCACAGCCATTTTTCTCATGTTTTTGGGTTGTCTCTTTTAGCACTAATTCAATAAGTTGATTATGCTCGTTGTAAGTCTTGTTTTTATTGCTTTTATGAATTTCTTTTTCCAAAAGATTTATCCTCTTCCGTCTTTAGGTTATCAAAATTGACCTCTGGTGATGCCCTTCTTACATCATTTTCAACTGCAACTAAAATGAAAAAAGCAATAAAGTAATGCTTCTAAAATTTGATAGATCATGCCGCAATACAAGGGTCATGAACAACCGAAACCTTATCCTGTGTACAAAGTGCGAATTAGAACTTCCTTCATGAACCAGGGGACTATGAAAGTTTTTATAATTTTCAGGTTTCAACGTGTAAAACAATGTAAGATATAAGCCTCTAACAGTCCATTCTGTAAAATATTTTACAGAATGGATTGTTATTGGCTTATATCCCTTAGAGAGAAAAATATCATGTGACAACAAAACATTATCCATTGATTTATGGCAAACCTTAAATATCTAAATATTATAAAATATATCTAAATAAAGGCAACAGTAGTATACCGCTGTTCCAAACTCTTAAATCGATAGAGATAAAAACAAATCTGGGTTACAAACTAAAACTGAGGGAAACGCATCAAATATAAGAGGAGAACAACGACACAACAAAAACACAACATTAAAATGTAACACACACAGAAACGAACTATAATATAACAATGGCCATTTTCCTGACTTGGTACAGGACATTTTAAGAAAAAAATGGTGGGTTGAACCTGGTTTTGTGGCATGCCAAACCTCCCACTTTTATGGCAACGTCAAACACAACACCAAAACGACAACATCACATGACAGGACCACAAAACAAATAAATGGGAGAACATATAGGACAAAGAAACACACGAATAATAGCTAACAAAAGGTACTTGGCTTAAAATTCAATACGTCAGACGTGCGTCTCGTCCACACAAGACCAACCAGTGACGCTCAGATGAAAAAAGTTTGAAAGCCAAAACAAGTACAAAGCCAGAAATTATGGAATCATTGTTCAAAAGTACCTTTATGGTAGTAGTAGAATCTTTTTTTAAATATATTTCAATCTAATTTATGTACATACAGGTTGGAAGAGACTGATGAACTATACATATCTGGGATACAGAATCAATGAAACATCGTCAGTACTGAAAGGTCAACATCAAAGAGGGGTCTGTGCTGTAGACTTCTCAGGTATTTATTGTTTGTTCATTTTCAATCTTAATACAAAAAATTTATGCAGATTGAAACATGACAGGATATTTTTGGTGGTTAACCTTGTAATGATTTTGACTGGAACAAAAGAATGGATGTCAGGAAAATCAGGAAAATAAGATTATAAGTACAGCTAGTATGGGAATAAAACCTGGAATTTTATCACCAGATCTGGTTGGACTTGGATATTTGTTGATTTGTTACTGCCTGAAAATTATCTACTACAGTGATACTTAATTTATTGCCACCTTTTGGAACATGTAAAATACTATCGACAAGTCAGGATGGCAGTATATCAAAGTAGAAATTTATATAATAAACTGCTTCGCTGAGTGCAGCTGGATACGCCCGCAGAGGTCCAACCCTGAACAGTTGGGGCAAAAATGGATACAATATTCAAGCTTGATACAGGTCTGAATTTGGATTGTAATTAAATATTTGACATATTACAGGTTTCTGAATAAATGTAGTCAAAGAACTTGAAATTGGTTATATGAATTGAATTTATATACAATTAAAGATTTCTTGCTGTTGTGCAATACACTGTGCTGTTGCGCAATACTTAGTAAATCTGTTGTCAGACTATAAACAAATAAAGTTCAATTAATTCTCAATGTCATATTAGAAATTTATGAAAATCAAAAGGGAGCTTACATCAATAGATATAAACAATTCACCAAAGTTTCATGAGAATTGCTGACAGCATTTTTGAGTTGTTGTCCGAAAACTGGAAAATCCCCCCTTTTTTAATGAATAAAACCCCATAACTCAGAAATGTAAAATGTAAAATTTATAAAATTCTAAACGGAGCTTACTTAAATAGATATAAACAATTCACCATAGTTTCATAAGAACTGCTGTAAGCATTTTTGCGTTTTTGTCAGAAAACTGGAAAATCCCCCTTTTTTATGAATAAAAAACCCTGTAACTCGGAAACGTAAAATCTAAATTTATAAAAATTCAAAGGAGCTCATGTCAATAGATATAAACAATTCACCACAATTTCTTGAAAGTTGATGAAAGCATTCTTGAGTTATTGTCTGAAAACTGGAAAATCCCCCTTTTTTTAATGATAAAACCCCATAAGTCAGAAACGTAAAATTTTAAATTTATAAAAAACGAAAGGGAGCTCACGTCAATAGATATAAACAATTCACCAAAGTTTTATGCAAATTGGTTAAAGCGTTTTTGAGTTGGTGTCCGACATGTTGACGACGGACGGATAGACAGACGGACGGACGGACAGACGGACAACGGTATACCATAATACGTCCCGTAAACGGGCGTATAAAAACTGCACACATTTGAGAAAAGTTGACTCTAGGATTATTCTGTAAATTCGTATTGGCATGGGTAGGCACCGGACACATCCATCTAGAACACCAATACCAATATTTAATATTCAAATAGTTCCAGTGTAATGCTGTGTGTTATTCAAGAAATAGAGTTAATTAATTGTCTATACAATTTTATACCCTTAAAGGACACTTGCTGTGACAAAACTCCTGCAACTTTTATTGTATTGTACTTTCAATATTCGCATTGCGCAGGCCCATGCAAAATCGATTGTTATATATAGTAATCCAGCATACATCCAAACGTGTAGAGCCGATTTTAACTTGGGGCCTACTATAAATAATAAAAACGAATGGCAATACAACTATATCAAAGTAAGAAGATATATATTCCTTGATAATTATCAGATGTAGGCTTATCAGACTTTTCTTCCCCGATCTTCCTGATTCGCAGCGGGAGCTTTGCGTGTATATAGCCTTTGATTTTCATATAGTGTGAACAATGTATTTCTTCCACTGATGTCTTCCTATTTTTCTTACGCATTCCCAATATTTATATGTGTTGCGCCTTAAAGATGAAATCATATTCATTTGGATATGGTTCAGTATAACAGGAACATATATATTGATATACTGTTCCCAGGGTATAAGTTTACGGAGCTGTACGTCAAACTGAATTAAATTGTCTAGTCAGTTATGACATACAATTATCCATGACTTGAGTTTGAGCAGGTAGATGTTTCTTTGAGTTTATATCCTAAAAGGATTCACCACACGCACTGTTTAGGTTTTATTAGTCTATAGATTATTGAAAACACAAAAGGGGTCTGAAAGAGGGGGAGGGGGTGTGGGTAAATTGTTTGATCCTTAATTTCTGGAAAAAATAACTTAATTTATACAGGGAAGTGAAAAAAAATAGTTTGTTTCCCTTGAAAATTATGATAAAATAAATAAAACATTTAGTTTTAAAATAAATCGTGTTCCTGTCGATATTTGATATTGAAGAAAATAGTTTTTATTCTAAATTGATTTGCATTAATATAACTGAGAAATTCACTGCATTTTGTGCTTAATCTATTGGGTTCTTAGGCTTAAGAATTGCGTTAATTAAACATGAAACTGGTTTTGCCAACTACTGGTATCAATTTGTTAAACAAAAAAATATATAATGGATTTCCACTATAGAAAATTGTAGAAATGTATATAAATTTAGAATTATATGCCCAAAATACAGCCTTGAAAAATTCATAGGCCGATGCGGCTTCTCCGAAGCATGAGGCTTAAACTTTTTGTCCAAGCCTCCTACCAGGCTGAGAAAAATTCATAGGCCGATGAGGCTTCTCCGAAGCAAGAGGCTTAAACTTTTTGTCCAAGCCTCCTACCTGGCTGAGAAAAATTCATAGGCCGATGCGGCTTCTCCGAAGCAAGAGGCTTAAACTTTTTGTCCAAGCCTCCTACCTGGCTGAGAAAAATTCATAGGCCGATGCGGCTTCTCCGAAGCATGAGGCTTAAACTTTTTGTCCAAGCCTCCTACCAGGCTGAGAAAAATTCATAGGCCGATGCGGCTTCTCCGAAGCAAGAGACTTAAACTTTTTGTCCAAGCCTCCTACCTGGCTTAGAAAAATTCATAGGCCGATGCGGCTTCTCCGAAGCAAGAGGCTTAAACTTTTTGTCTAAGCCTCCTACCTGGCTGAGAAAAATTCATAGGCTGATGCGGCTTCTCCGAAGCAAGAGGCTTAAACTTTTTGTCCAAGCCTCCTACCTGGCTGAGAAAAATTCATAGGCCGATGCGGTTCCTCCGAAGCAAGAGGCTTAAACTTTTTGTCCAAGCCTCCTACCAGGCTGAGAAAATTTCATAGGCCGATGCGGCTTCTCCGAAGCAAGAGGCTTAAACTTTTTGTCCAAGCCTCCTACCTGGCTGAGAATATTTCATAGGCCGATGCGGCTTCTCCGAAGCAAGAGGCTTAAACTTTTTGTCCAAGCCTCCTACCAGGCTGAGAAAATTTCATAGGCCTGTAAAGTTTTTGAGTTATCCTTCTTTGAGTGTTACCTGGATTTAAATCTTAGTGATTTATAAATAGAACAAAAGTAATCAAGTTTGACAAAAAGGTAATGTGAAGGTGAGAAACTAGTTATGCAGGTTAATTTTGAAACACTAGTCTTGAGATAAGGTGTTGTCAGTATAACACCTGGACAGTGTTGAAGTCAGATGTTGAAAACTGACTGGAACTTGGAGTTGGAGTTTGACTATTGTCAGGGCAGATATTATATCAGGAATGATCAGTTCAGGAGAATTCATTAATATTTTGTCCATCAGGACAATAAAGAACTCCCAGGTAGGTTTTGTCACACAAACACACCATGCCCTGCCCTTATGTCTTCTGTTTCAAATATTCGCACGAGATATCAAATTTTGTTTGTCATATTATAATTATGGCGCGCACGGTTGTCAAATAATTATGTTTATTCGGGATTAAATCGGTCCGTTATTTAAAATTGTGTTTTGTTTCTTTCCCAGGGGACTTGTTGAGTTATGGAAGTATTTTTGACCATTAAAAGAAAGGAGTGATAAGTAAAATGAGACAATTTCCTATATATAAAGTTGAATCTCAGATGAGGATAAATATATACTGTGTGTATTGTTAACATTTGATAGTTAAAATGGAACAGATAGTTTTCAAGTAATAAGTATTACAACAACCTGAATGTCTGTGTGGTTAAATAGTCTGTCAGTAAATTTGTTTCGGGACAATTACAATTTAAAAGATAGCAGAAACTTGGTTTGACAGTTTGTCCCAGAAGCTGAAATATTTAACGTTATGTATTATAATTCGGATCAAACGAGAACAACCTTTGAGATTTCTGGATTGATATAGACTTGTGATTTATGGACTGTGATGGACTAATTTATTTATTTACTTTTAATTTTAACTTTTAGTTATGTGTATTTAGTTCCGTGTATTTGTCATTGTCTATGTGAGATAGAAGAGAGGTTGTGGAGAGGTTGTTTCATATGTGTATATTTATGTTTGTGTTTGTCTTGTGGTTGTGGTATTATTAAATGCAAATTTTTATTTAGTTTTGTTTGACGCCCAATTGACAGATCTATTTGATTGTCCCCTTATTAAAAGAACCCAGAAGTGAAAATTTCACTTCTTTACAAGGCCGATGCGGCTTCTCCGAAGCAGGGGCTTAAATGTTTTGTCCAAGCCTCCTACCAGGCTGAGAAAAATTCATAGGCCGATGCGGCTTCTCCGAAGCAAGAGGCTTAAACTTTTTGTCCAAGCCTCCTACCAGGCTGAGAAAATTTCATAGGCCGATGCAGCTCCTCCGAAGCAAGAGGCTTAAACTTTTTGTCCAAGCCTCCTACCAGGCTGAGAAAAATTCATAGGCCGATGCAGCTTCTACGAAGCAAGAGGCTTAAACTTTTTGTCCAAGCCTCCTACCTAGCGGAGAAAAATTCATAGGCCGATGCGGCTTCTCCGAAGCAAGAGGCTTAAACTTTTTGTCCAAGCCTCCTACCAGGCTGAGAAAATTTCATAGGCCGATGCGGCTTCTCCGAAGCAAGAGGCTTAAACTTTTTGTCCAAGCCTCCTACCTGGCTGAGAAAAATTCATAGGTCGATGCGGCTTCTCCAAAGCAGGGGCTTAAACTTTTTGTCCAAGCCTCCTACCTGGCTGAGAATAATTCATAGGCCGATGCGGCTTCTCCGAAGCAAGAGGCTTAAACTTTTTGTCCAAGCCTCCTACCAGGCTGAGAAAAATTCATAGGCCGATGCGGCTTCTCCGAAGCAAGAGGCTTAAACTTTTTTTATGTCCAAGCCTCCTACCTGGCTGAGAAAAATTCATAGGCCGATGTGGCTTCTCCGAAGCAAGAGGCTTAAATTTTTTGTCCAAGCCTCCTACCAGGCTGAGAAAATTTCATAGGCCGATGCGGCTTGTCCAAAGCAAGAGGCTTCAACTTTTTGTCCAAGCCTCCTACCAGGCTGAGAAAATTTCATAGGCCGATGCGGCTTCTCCGAAGCAAGAGGCTTAAACTTTTTGTCCAAGCCTCCTACCAGGCTGAGAAAATTTCATAGGCCGATGCGGCTTCTCCGAAGCAAGAGGCTTAAACTTTTTGTCCAAGCCTCCTACCAGGCTGAGAAAAATTCATAGGCCGATGCGGCTTCTCCGAATCATGAGGTTTAAACTTTTTGTCCAAGCCTCCTACCAGGCTGAGAAAAATTCATAGGCCGATGCGGCTTCTCCGAAGCATGAGGCTTAAACTTTTTGTCCAAGCCTCCAACCTGGCTGCGAAAAATTCATAGGCCAATGCGGCTTCTCCGAAGCAAGAGGCTTAAACTTTTTGTCCAAGCCTCCTACCAGGCTGAGAAAAATTCATAGGCCGATGCAGCTTCTCCGAAGCAAGAGGCTTAAACTTTTTGTCCAAGCCTCCTACCTGGCGGAGAAAAATTCATAGGCCGATGCGGCTTCTCCGAAGCAAGAGGCTTAAACTTTTTGTCCAAGCCTCCTACCAGGCTGAGAAAATTTCATAGGCCGATGCGGCTTCTCCGAAGCAAGAGGCTTAAACTTTTTGTCCAAGCCTCCTACCTGGCTGAGAAAAATTCATAGGTCGATGCGGCTTCTCCGAAGCAGGGGCTTAAACTTTTTGTCCAAGCCTCCTACCTGGCTGCGAAAAATTCATAGGCCGATGCGGCTTCTCCGAAGCAAGAGGCTTAAACTTTTTGTCCAAGCCTCCTACCAGGCTGAGAAAAATTCATAGGCCGATGCGGCTTCTCCGAAGCAAGAGGCTTAAACTTTTTTTATGTCCAAGCCTCCTACCTGGCTGAGAAAAATTCATAGGCCGATGCGGCTTCTCCGAAGCAAGAGGCTTAAATTTTTTGTCCAAGCCTCCTACCTGGCTGAGAAAAATTCATAGGCCGATGCGGCTTCTCCGAAGCATGAGGCTTAAACTTTTTGTCCAAGCCTCCTACCAGGCTGAGAAAAATTCATAGGCCGATGCGGCTTCTCCGAAGCAAGAGGCTTAAACTTTTTGTCCAAGCCTCCAACCTGGCTGAGAAAAATTTATAGGCCGATGCGGCTTCTCCGAAGCAAGAGGCTTAAACTTTTTGTCCAAGCCTCCTACCAGGCTGAGAAAAATTCATAGGCCGATGTGGCTTCTCCGAAGCATGAGGCTTAAACTTTTTGTCCAAGCCTCCTACCAGGCTGAGAAAAATTCATAGGCCGATGCGGCTTCTCCAAAGCAAGAGGCTTAAACTTTTTGTCCAAGCCTCCTACCTGGCTGAGAAAAATTCATAGGCCGATGCGGCTTCTCCGAAGCATGAGGCTTAAACTTTTTGTCCAAGCCTCCTACCTGGCTGAGAAAAATTCATAGGCCGATGCGGCTTCTCCGAAGCAAGAGGCTTAAACTTTTTGTCCAAGCCTCCAACCTGGCTGAGAAAAATTCATAGGCCGATGCGGCTTCTCCGAAGCAAGAGGCTTAAACTTTTTGTCCAAGCCTCCTACCAGGCTGAGAAAATTT